TTCCTTCCTAAAATTTACTCTTCTTCTAAGAAAAAATAAAAGAGAGCACTCGCAAATGTTTTCATTCTTCAGAAGGTTCTTCCGTTAAAACTGTTAAAATTTTTATCCCTCGTTCTTCGATGATTCCTTCCTACAAAATTTACCTTCGCTGACAGAAAGAGAGAGAGAGAAAAGACGGCGGATAGAGGATACGAGAGATGGTCTTTCGCGCAAGAAGTTTGGAAATTTTCCGAGGCGCGGGACGAGCGGAATTATAGCAACCGGCGAGTGTCGAGTTCGAAGCGCATAGTATCGGCCCCTCACGGTCGATGTAACGACAGTGATAAATCCTTTTAAGGAGCGTCTAGCTGCTTTTAACGGTCGACAGCACGCTATCGTTGCTGTAACGCGAAGTGAACAATCCGTAACCGAGAAGATAATTGTTCGCAGTTATGCGGATAACCAATACGTTGGCAAGAAAAGCTCCTCCGCAAACCCGCCATTGTTTCGCCAAACAATTCCCTAATAAAATCTAGTTTGCAAAGCGCCACTCCTCGTGATTAAACGCATGTGGAATTAGTTTAATGATAAATCAAAAAGTCCAAATTAAGATCGGTTAATTTTATTAGATTTTATTGAGGAGGAAATTGAAAAAATTTTCCTCGTTCTGTGAAGATTGAATTGGATAAATTCCTGGTTTGGGAATTTCAATGTAAAATCTGAATCTCCAAGGCCACCGGAAGAAATCCGACTAAACTTCTCCTCGATCTGTTTCACGAGGATTTGCAGCAATTTTAAAAATAAACGCGCAATAATTAATTCTATCATCAGAATTTTTTGGAAATTGTGACATAAGGCGAGAATACGTGTAAATAAAGCAATCGTTAATCTGATGTCTGTAAAATTAATTCGGAATAACTGCACGATAATATTTAATTAAATACTTAATTAGATCCTCTTCTTTATGAATATTCTATAAATTTCAAAACTTTACAAAGCTACGTGACCAGTTTTATTAAGTCAACATTTATATTTCTGAAAGATAACTGACGATTGCCAATGAGGCAAGCCCCCCTTTTTCTTTCTCATCCAATAAATCGAAGCAGAGGAAAAGCTGCTGTTTTCCATTCGATATCGAGACACGATTTCGAAGAATGGTTCGGTGTTGAACCGTGCCATGAAACGTTGGCGCGGAACGTTGGAGTTTCGTATCAAAATCGGCGAACCGTGAACGAAAGAACGTCGAGGAACGGCGGAATTATTCGGACAAAGTCCCAAACGGACGAGGACGGAATTTTTCTTTCGTCGAGAAGCGACGGCGGCGGCGGCGGCGGCGACAGCTTTTGACCCGGCAAAAACGGCGGCCACGTCCGCCGAATTTTTGGCTGAATCTTCGATCCTCCCGTGGCCCACCGCGAAACAATCGCGAATCTCTCGCCTCCAACCTCTCTCTCTCTCTCTCTCTCTCTTTCTTCTCCATTTTATTGTACATCAAACATCCACGTGACCATGCTTCCAATTTATTGCGCAATCAAATCAGAAATCGACGTGTTATTGTATTAAATTTTTTCAAAAGATATCTCCAAAAGAATTCTCTTCATTTTTCACGATCAAAAAACTCTCGAGAAATGATATCTCAATAACCTAATTACGTTACGAATGTACGGGAATGAAAATTATTCCTGCAGTTCGTAAAAGATGCTATAGGAAAAATTTTATCATAATTTTATTTTATAAATTTTATTATATATATTTTTATATTATTATATTATATTTTATAAATTTTATTATATATATTAATTTTATTTTATTATTAAATTGCACATTGCAGGATGGTCATCTCCTGGATATACGACGATAATATTGGCAATTTACCTTTCGACGATGCGATAAAATTAAAATTTCACTTTTTCCTTAATTTTTCGAGAGAGAGAGAGAGAGAGAGAGAAAAGAAAAGGACGAGGATCGTAGGTTAAATTTGAACCGATTCCGAAGGGTTGAAAGGATTGAGATTTTTTTTGGAGTAAGAGGCGATTCTCCTCCGATTTAAGAGGCCAATTAACGCTTCTAATCTCGGGAGGCGAGATTCTCGGCTAATCCCAAGACAAAATCGGCGGTCTTCCCGTTATCTTGGACCATTGCCGGCGTTACTTATCCATTGTCTCCGGCTTAAGGGAAACGGTAGCTTGATCTTAAATCTAAATTGCATCTGTTTGTCACTGTCCCCCGCGTAACCCCCTTCCCTCCCTCCCTCACGTATCATACCGAGTGCAATTAACGCTCCGCCACCGTCGAATCGATCCTCCAAACGAAATTTTCCATTCCAAATTGTATCGTAGAGATTAAAACCAGGTGAAATCCTTCCCCTTCCCTAAATTTTCTCGATTATACGTCGATCGTTGAAAGTGGAAATTCTGTTCGAAATAAATCGAAAAATTATTAAAACGATCTCGCGAAAAAATGATTTGAAATTATCCTGGCACCGATGGAACAACATCGATTAATCATTGATTTTCATAAATATTGAACGTCGTGTTGTTATCGAATCGATAATGAAATTATCGATTATAAGCGGATATATGTTGATCGTTGAAAAGTATAAATTTCGTTCGAAATAAATCCAAAAATTACATCAAGATTAGCCCAACTATTAATAATCCAACTATTAATGCAACTATTAATAATCCTCGATCGTTGAAAAGTGAAAATTAAAAAAATCTCGCGAAAAAACAATTATTCGAAATTATCCTGGCACCGATGGAACAACATCCATTAATCATTGATTTTCATAAATGTTGAATGACGTGTTGTCATCGATAATTCTTCTCTAATGTCTACTTTTCTCGATTATACGCGATATATATCGATCGTTGAAAAGTATAAATTCCGTTCGAAATAAATCCAAAAATTACATCAAGATTATCACAAGTCCAATTATTAATAATCCTAAATCGTTGAAAAGTGAAAATTAAAAGAATCTCGCGAAAAAACAATGATTTGAAATTATCCTGGCACCGATGGAACAACATCCATTAATCATTGATCTTCATAAATGTTGAATGTCGTGTTGTCATCGATAATGAAATTCTTCTCTAATGTCTACTTTTCTCGATTATACGCGATATATATCGATCGTTGAAAAATATAAATTCCGTTCAAAATAAATCCAAAAATTATTAAAAGGATCTCGCGAAAAAACAATGATTTGAAATTATCCTGACACCGATGGAACAACATCCATTAATCATTGATTTTCATAAATGTTGAATGTCGTGTTATCATCGAATCGATAATAAAATTCTTCCCTACTTTTCTCGATTATACGCGATATATATCGATCGTTGAAAAATATAAACTCCGTTCAAAATAAATCCAAAAATTATTAAAAGGATCTCGCGAAAAAACAATAATTTGAAATTATGGCACCGATGGAACAACATCCATTGATTTTCATAAATGTTGAATGTCGTGTTATCATCGAATCGATAATAAAATTCTTCCCTACTTTTCTCGATTATACGCGATATATATCGATCGTTGAAAAATATAAATTCCGTTCGAAATAAATCCAAAAATTACATCAAGATTAACACAAGTCCAACTATTAATAATCCTAAATCGTTGAAAAGTGAAAATTAAAAGAATCTCGCGAAAAAACAATTATTCGAAATTATCCTGGCACCGATGGAACAACATCCATTAATCATTGATTTTCATAAATGTTGAATGTCGTGTTATCATCGAATCGATAATAAAATTCTTCCCTACTTTTCTCGATTATACGCGATATATATCGATCGTTGAAAAATATAAACTCCGTTCAAAATAAATCGAAAAATTATTAAAAGGATCTCGCGAAAAAACAATTATTCGAAATTATCCTGGCACCGATGGAACAACATCCATTGATTTCCGTAAATATGCGATTTCATTGCATGATATATGATATAATCGATAATGAAATTTCTGCTCTAGAGAAATCTAATCCGTCCAAAACTTGGCCGATTCGATCTCACGATTCGAAGAGAGATCAAATTGGCGGCGGAATCGGGGAATGTTTGAAATCCGGGCCGCTAATGCGTTAATCCGTTTCGGCGTTTCGATAGGAAAAAGTATATCCGCGGTGAAAAACATAGGGATTGATCACGGTCTGCCGTGGCGAATGCGGCTGACTAAGCCGCGAGATACGCGAGATACACATTTACGAATACCGCTATCTATTTATCGAACACGCCCCTCTCTCTCTTTTTCTCCCTTATCCTTCCTTGTTATTCGTTGAAACGAAACGAATCTCTTTACGTGGTTTTCTTTCCTTTTTTCTTTTTTTTTCTTTTTTTTTTTTTTTTTTTTTAAATAAGCGCACGTGAGATTGCTTTCGATGAAACGGATTGGGTTTGAGTTGATTAAAGAGAATTGTGATCGGAGCTGGGCGGTGCTATTTAAACGCAATTTCCTCACTTGGAAGCGATTTGAAATAATGGAAGAAATGGAAATGGATCGACGTGAAAAAGAACGTTCGTGAGGATAAATCGAGTAACGAAATCTTGAATTAATTAACGGTTGCAGTAATGACTCGGGCGAATGAAAAGAAATATAGGAAGGAGAAATGTAAAAAGAGGAGATGATTTAATAAAATTAAATAAAGAGAGAGAGAGGAAGAGATGTTCGAAAAAAATATCGAAACAAGTGGAAAATAGGAAACGGACGGTCGTTCGTTTCGATCTCTCTGCTTCCTCGCGGATCTTCTTCTTGCCTGATCAACCTTTCGAACGATCCTGAAGAAGTCTTGTCCGGATGCTTCCACTCGAGGAATGCGATTCCAGGGATAACAGGGTCTGTCTTATTGGCCAAAGTATCGCAAAAGATCGTTACCTGGGCCGATTCTTCGTTAATTGCGTAACAATTTTATAAAGGATAAAGGAAAATCTGACGGTTCTCCACTTTCGATGACGGTATTTCGACTCGATTCTTTCCTCTCGATTCTTTTTCAAACGATTATGCTCGATTATGCTTCGCCCTACCTTCAAGGTGAGAAGTGCTCCGGGAAATATACCAAGAGCGGCGAGGCTTTGACTATGATCGGTCAGCTCGTGTTCACCCAGCATTAGATGTTGGTCGTAAGGTCCAGCGCCGCAAATTTGCATGGTCTGAAAAAAAAAAGTCCATCGTTTCAGAATTAAGAAATATTAATAACGATACGTTTATTCTTATTTTAGATCAATTCCTTCCTTCCTAAGTTTCCAAATTAAACGAAATTTAATTGAATCGATAACGATGAAATTTACAAAAAGGAATTTCTCGATTTCTTGATTCCTAAATCGTGACGTTCAACGTTAATTAACAACAGAATAGTATTAAAAGAATTCCAAATTAAAAAAATTCTTATTCACACGTTAGATAAAAAAAAAATTTCTTCCCTAGATTTCTAAATTAAATAAAATTTTAATATCGATAGTGGTGAAACATATATTTACAAAAAAAAAATTTCTCGTGATTCCTAAATCATGATATTTAAGTAACAGCAGAATAATATTAAAAGAATCTCAAATTAGAAGAATTCTTATTCACACATTAAATAAAAAAAATTTCTTCCCTGCTTTTCTAAATTAAATAAAATTTTAATATCGATAGTGGTGAAACGTATATTTACAAAAAAAAAATTTCTCGTGATTCCTAAATCATGATATTTAAGTAACAGCAGAATAATATTAAAAGAATCTCAAATTAGAAGAATTCTTATTCACACATTAAATAAAAAAAATTTCTTCCCTGCTTTTCTAAATTAAATAAAATTTTAATATCGATAGTGGTGAAACGAATATTTACAAAAAAAAACTTCTCGTGATTCCTAAATGATATTTAAGTAACAGCAGAATAATATTAAAAGAATCTCAAATTAGAAGAATTCTTATTCACACGTTAGATAAAAAAAAAATTTCTTTCCTCGTGATTCCTAAATCGTGATGAATTTATTTACAAAAAAAAAAAAAAAACTTTTCGTGACATTTAAGTAACAACAGAATAATATCGGGATCTTAAATTAAAAGAATTCTTATTCACACATTAAATAAAAAAAATTTCTTCTCTGCTTTTCTAAATAAATTTTAATATCGATAGTGGTGAAACATATATTTACAAAAAAAAAAATTTCTCGTGATTCCTAAATCATGATATTTAAGTAACAGCAGAATTAGAAGAATTTCACACGTTAGATAAAAAAAAAATTTCTCTCCTCGTGATTCCTAAATCGTGATGAATATTTACAAAAAAAAAAAACTTTTCGTGACATTTAAGTAACAACAGAATAATATTTCAAATTCTTAAATTAAAAGAATTCTTATTCATGTTAAATAAAAAAAAATTAAATAAAAAGAATTAAATAAAAAAAATTTCTTCTCTGCTTTTCTAAATTAAATAAAATTTTAATATCGATAGTGGTGAAACGAATATTTACAAAAAAAAAAAAAAAACTTCTCGCGATATTTAAGCAACAGTGGAATAACATTATTATTTAAGATCCAAAATTCGTGATCTACGTAATTTCGATTTCGAGCCGAGCGAGGAAAACGACGAATTCTCGGAACGTAGAAAATTCCAACAACCTCTACCTCTCCGTTCTGAGCGAGCCGCGAGCAGCGAAAAGAAACGAGGAGGAGGAAAGGACCTCGGTCTCGAACTCGGAATCGCGGAGCATGCGTCCGGATAATTGCTTAATTTGTGGAAGCCGCGTTCGAGAAACGGTTTACCCTTCGCCCGGCTCCCCGTACGAACGGGGTTAAACGTGCAGGTTTCTGTTTTACGAGCGAGTAACAGCCAACGCGCGGAAAGAGAAGACGCGCACACGCGAAACGCCCTGGTTAGACCAGAGTGGAGCGAAAGGATCATCCTTCGAATTTATTCGCTCTCTTGTGAATTTACTCTCTCGTCTCTTCGATGGAAATTCGATCGAATTAGAATTCGATTAGAATTAGAATTATTTTTATAAGAAAAATTACGAGAGGTAAATAAATTTTGGAAAGTAAATATTGCTATTTTATGAATTTACTTTTTTGTCTCTTGGATGGAAATTCGATCGAACGATTAGAATTAGAATTATTTTTATAAGAAAAATTACGAGAGGTAAATGAATTTTGGAAAGTAAATATTGCTATTTTATGAATTTACTCTCGTGTCTCTTGAATGAAAATTAGATAACAATTAGAATTAGAATTAGAATTATAAGAAAAATTACGAGAGGTAAATGAATTTTGAAAAGTAAATATTGCTATCTTATGAATTTATTCTTTCATCTTTTAAATAGAAATTAAATCGAAGAATTCGAATTATTTTTATAAGAAAATGATTGCAGAGTAGATGAATTTTGGAAAGTAAATATTGTTCCCTTATGAATTTATTCTTCCATCTTTTGAATGGAAATCAAAGAATTCGAATTATTTTTATAAGAAAAATTGCAGAGGGATGATTGCAGAGTAGATGAATTTTGGAAAGTAAATATTGTTCCCTTATGAATTTATTCTTTCATCTTTTGAATGGAAATTAAATCGAAGAATTCGAATTATTTTTATAAGAAAAATTGCGGGATGATTGCAGAGTAGTAGATGAATTTTGAAAAGTAAATATTACTCCCTTATGAATTTACTCTTTTGATGGAAATTAAATCGAAGAATTAGAATTAGAATTATTCTTATAAGAAAAATTGCGAGATGATTGCGAGAGTAACAGATGAATTTTGAAAATTGAGTACTGGATAAATCGAAGTAAGTATTTCATTCGAAGATGAGTTGAGAAAACGTACGATTGATTCCAGGCACACAAAATATAACATTATCGACATTATATTTGGACAAAACGTCCAAAAATAAAAAGAAAGAAATAGTACAAAACGAATAGCCGTGTTGGAGCCTCGAATACTACCCACCGTTGATCGCTTTAGATCCAATTTTCAGAAGAATCGCTTCTTGTGCGAGTTAGGAATCTCTATGATCGAGCTCGCGGTGACACGGCAAGAAACGATGGATGGTCCGCTGTGAAATTGATTTTAAATTCCAAAAATTAGTTCCGTTACACCCACGTGGATGAATCATCGATTCCATTCCCTCGAAACTCGCGCACCCTTTAACTATATCACACCAACCAGGTGAGATTGCACCACCATCTCGATCGAACCTCGAACGACCAGAGAGATATTCTTCCGGCCCTCCTAATTCCAACACCTCGACCAACATCTCCATTCTTCGAGAAGCTCTGAAAGTTGCTTAAGGATAATAGCAGCGTTTGTCGGAAGGGAAAAGAAAAAAGACCAAAAGGAAAAAATGCGAAGAGAGACCGGGGTCGGGACTCTTATAAGAAACTGACGCTCCCTCGTTAAGATCTGCACGAAAGTGCACGCGCAACGTCGATAAACAGGGACGAGTTTGACGGGAGAAATAGGTGAAAACTCTTTGCGCGATAATCCTCGACTTAACGCACAATTCCTCGGCACAAATTCTCTCTTCGAACAGCTCGGTTTCGCGCGACAAAAAAGCGATAACCAATCCTCGGTTGAGAGGATTGCGAGGAAAAAAGAAAAAAAAAGAAAAAACTGAGAGAGGAAAGGTTGGTGACACGGAGTAGAAAGTAATATTTACAGGTGGCGATGGTTATTATCAGGATGATTATTACGTAAAACGAAGCGCACCGGCGGCCCGGTTTGCTCGGTTGCTCGCTCGCGACTTGGTCCGCATCCGAGCATGAAATTCGTAGATTTTTGCCAACCGGCAAAAAGGCTGGAAAACTATCCCATTCCTGTCAAACACAAATCCTATCCTTCGCGTCGTCCTGGAAGAAACCGGCACCCTTTGCTTCGATCGGCCAAATAACGTTCTCGAGCCGTCTAATCTCCGACTGTTTGCGCTTCGTTGCCGATCCATCGATCAGAGAATTCAATGGCCGGGGCCAGGAAAATAGGCGCGGAGGCCTCTCGGCATCTCTCGCCGAGGCTTGAATTTAAGAGTTTTACTACTGGAGGAGGAGTGGCAATTATTGCGGTAAAACTGAGACGAGCCACCAGTCTTGCTCCTTTTTGCTCCGTTTCCTAGGTTTTTGCGGGAAACTCGCGGGGAGAAAAATTCGTTAACCAAGCAACGTTGGCGAGAGAGATACCGCTCGGGGTAGATTGCTCGTCTTGTCCCGTCCTTCTGGCCTGGCAATAAAATATAAGTGGCCGAGCTAGAAGTTTCCAACCGTACGGTAGTTTTAAATATGTAAAACCGCCTTTTTTTAAAAATCCCTCCTTTGCGGATGGATTAATGGGATGTGCGTTAATTTTATTTTATGGGATGGGAGTATGAGAGGTGAATTTAAGGTGGGAATTTTCGCATCGATGAAAAAGTGCTGAGAATTCTTTCAATTTCTTCTCATTCATCGAATTCTTTATTTTTTTTTTTTTTTTCTAATATTTTAAACTTTCCAGTAGAATTACGCAACAATTTTTCTTCTTATTCATCGCATCCTTTATTTTTTTTTATTTTAAACTTTCGAATAGAATAAAATTACACAAAAAATTTAATTTCGAAGTCTTTAAAAAAATTCTTCCAACTTTTTCTTATTCATCGAATCCTTTATTTAAACTTTCCAGTAGTAGAATTACACAATAATTTTAATTTCGGAATCTTTTAAAAAATTCTTCCAACTTCTTATTCATCGAATCCTTTATTTTTTTATTTTAAACTTTCGAATAGAATAAAATTACACAAAAACTTTAATTTCAAAATCTTTTAAAAAATTCTTCCAACTTCTTATTCATCGAATCCTTTATTTTTTTATTTTAAACTTTTGAGTAATAGAATTACACAATAATTTTAATTTCGGAATATTTTAAAAAATTCTTGTAACTTCTTATTCATCGAATCCTTTAATTTTTTTTTAAACTTTCCAGTAATAGAATTACACAATAATTTTAATTTCGGAGTCTTTTAAAAAATTCTTCCAACTTCTTATTCATCGAATCCTTTATTTTTCTGATATTAAAATTCTCAAAGTCCTTTAAAAGTTCTAAAAAGCAGAATTTTAAACGATATTCCATACTCCTTATTCCTCGATCTTTCCTAATTACGCGAAAACTCTAATTTCCGAGTTTTCCAAGTCCCCTGAAAAACCTTCGAATCATCGCCTAAACTATTCCTCGTTCCCCGACTTATTCTTTCCACCCCATCTCGATCACCCCCGACGACAAATTAAAATCCCTACAATCCCTTCAATTTCTCAATTTTCCCGAGAAACAAAATCTCCAAAACCCCCCAAACCATCCAACTCGTGCATCCGACTCGAGCAGAAACACGCGTATATCCTTTCTATTCGTCGTTACGTTAACGAATCCGTAACGAAAACTGTTCGCGTAGAAAAAGCGACAGAGAGAGAGAGAGAGAAAAGAGAGAAAAAGAGGAGATGGAAACAGCCACCGGTATGAAAGGGCCCGGAGTCGGGCGAAGTGGAGCGAAGTGGAGAATGGAGAAGCGGAGAAGGCCTGTTATTAGCGCGAGGTTTATGCTCTTTCGGCTTTTTGCCGGTGGCCTCGGATGAAGGAGAAGGAGATGGTCCACAGCCTCGCAATATAAATACGCTTAATAGTTTAAGCACACCGGCGGGGCTCGGGCATATGCTAACCAGCCATAACTACGGATTTACTACTTTCGTCCACCGCGAAGGAGAGCTAAGAGGGAGGGAGGGAGAGAGAGAGGCTGGTTTACAGGGTGTCCGCCGATTTTAGGAGGGACCAACCTTTTCCCTCCTAAGGAAACGATCCTTACGATCCCTCGTAAAAACACGGCAAGAGTAATTTCATTCAATTATACCGCGATCACTGTCATTCCCCGTAACTACGATCGATCGGGGAACGCGTTAAAATGGAGCAAATTATGTTTGTTTAGTTTTTGGCCGGATGCCAAAGGGAAGAATTATCTATTATCGTGGAATTTTTCCTCCTCTTCGCCCGATGCGAATCTCAGAAATCATAAATTATATTTCTAACACATTTCTTTTTTTTTTTTTTCCTTTTTTCCAGAGACTTTTACGCAATTACAGTGCACAATTCTTGGATCTCTGGTGGATTTGGATAAGCTTGTATTGTATTAAAAAAATTGTAATCAATATTAACAAGGTAAGAGATGAAATTTAAGAAACACTCACCATCAGTTTCAGCTCCTTCAACGTGATCTCCGAGGAAACTTTGAGCTCGTGGGATCCCTTCAAGTTCCGCCTGGTCCTCGAGGGCCTCGTGTTCTCCAGCTTCGGTCTCTTCGGGGGCATCTTCGCGCGGAACCGCAAAAAAGAAACCATTCAAACATCGTGAAATCGTGTACACCCTTTAACGTCGTTCCTCGATTCGTCTCGTGATATCGAGACGAGAAGAGCAAAAGAAGAGAAGGGGAAAAAAGAAAAAGAAAAGAAGAAGAAGAAGAAGAAGAAACGAAAGAGAGGAAGCAGCAGCTGTGCTGCTTTAAGCCTCGAAAACGTAATGACGATTATTATCGTCGAGATGAACGAGAAACGGGGCCAATCTCCTTATCGACCGACATCAATCTGAACCGGTGGACCGGTTCCAACAACGGTCCGGGTGACTCGGCGCCTAGGCCATTAACAAAAATCCATCCGTTGCTTCCTTGCTTCGAATAATAATTTCGTGCAACACGACTCGACTCTCCCCCCCTCCCCCCCCTCCCCGAATTTCGTGATTTCCTTACCTACGAGATCCTTACCTCAGAGTCGTTCTCCGACTTCGTCTCCTCGTTATCCTCCACGCACTTTATATAAATCGTCGCCCTGTCGTACTTGAGACTCTCCAGACGTTCTTGCTCCACTCTCGCCAACATGCACGCGGCGCATAAACCTGAAAATAAAAAAAAAAAAAAGGGAATATTATTATTGGGAATATTATTATACCGATAGAGAAGAAGATAGAGAAGATCGTTCTTCTTGTTTCTTCTCCTTCGTCGCGTTCCTTCGAGAAAGAAATAGACGGGAAATTTCCAAAAGTTGCAAAAAGTTGGAACTTTGATTCGTGAAAAACAAATCTTCCGAAGTTGAAAAACCAAACAAAAAGAAAAAAAAAAAAAGAATCAAAAGGAGAATAATAAACAGCGTGAAACCTCCTTCGAAACGCTCCCTCCCTCGCATCGATCCTCAACCCTCCACCCCTTCGGCCAAGCGCGTGAGAAGCAGCGGTCGGCGCCACGGACAATTTCAAGATTCCTTTAACACCCTTTTCCTATACCCAACCCTTCGTTAACACCAGCGGCGGGGGTCAGATTACATCGACGCACCCCTCCTCCTCCTCCTCCTCCTCCTCGTCCAAGTTACGAAGTCGCAGAGCAACGCGGATCGAAGGGGAGGGAAGGGTGGACGTTTCGACGACGAGGAGGACGACGCCGCAGGCCTCTTATCCCCGTGTATAATAGATTGCTCACGGTCGGCGAGATTAATACAGTAATTAATAATATACGGTGACCAGAGCCGCGTAAGAAGCGGCCATTGTTGGCTGGCCGGCAAGCGCAAAAAGCGGAGCAGCTCCGAACTGCTCCTAGCCGGGCGTTTCAGGAGCGTTACGTCATGTTCAGACAGTTTTACGCCCGTGAGGGTAAACCACCCCTTCCCCGAGAGAGGAAGGCCTCGAATGAATTCGAATGTCCACCACCTTCGCCAAAGCCCCTAATTACCCGGTAATTCCCCGCCAAGTGAACGAACTCCTCCGACAACCAACCCCCTCTTCCGAGTTCCACCTGGGATAGGCGCAGCAATTAGCCTTTTGGATGCGTCGAGATTCGAAGCCTCTCGAGATTTAAGAAGCTCGCGAAGAGAAAAGTCTCGAAGCTCGATGATTTATTTTAAAATTGAGCGATCTTAAAGTAATTTTAAGGTAAGAATAATTTCCGAAAAATATCTGTGTATTAATTCTTTGCGCTCGAATGGCGACTTTTTTAAAATATCGCTTCGTAAATAGAATTATTAAACTCTTTACGTATAATCTTATAATAAAAGCGTGGAATAATATGCTATCGAATGGTTAGATTTTTTTTTATCTCAAATTAGTTTGACAGTCGTAGGGATAGAAATATTATTTTCAAAGTTTTCGAGTTTAGTAATTATGGTAACGAAATTAGTTCGGGCGAATAAATTATTTCTGTTCGTTAAGGAATTGATAAACAGAGAGATGAAAATAGAGAGAGATGTGGTATAAGAAGAACGAATGAAAAATAAGAATAATAGGCAGTGCAAGTTATTGAAAGTAATTTGCTCTCGATAAGAAAGATGAAAGATATTAAACGACATTTTATACTTGCCCTGACAAGCCGAGATCATGGCAATTACTTAATTATTAAAATATCGACGAATATAGAGTTTAATATCCAACAAATTTCCTCTCCTCGCGTGTAAAGATACGCGTAAAAGTGATTTGTGCGTGAAATCATTTCAAGTTGGCTAGAAGAAGTCGTCTGAAGTTGTTGAGCGAAAAAAGGCCTGGAGCGCAAAGGGTTAATCCCGGATTCTTGGAAAAACTAATGGACAAAGTACAAGTTTCACAGATATCTATAATAACGCTTTTTTATCATGGAATTTATCCATAGGAAGAAAAGAAATTGATTACAACAAGGTGGTGGTAAGAAGAGAAACGGAGTTGGACTTTGGTTCATAGAAATGGTCGAGAGGAACGAGCTACTCCGAATGAATTCAAATGTCCACCCTTACGGGCCTCCTCAATTACGGTGCACGAGGGGTGCACGATAGGATCTCGTTCGCTATCGAGTTTAATCGGAAATACGAGGAACTTGAAGCTAATCAGGGATCAGCGGAGGGAGGATCGGGGATATATCCAAGTCTTTTAACCCTCGATTCCGTTAAATCAACCCTTTCGAAGATATACCGATCATATATCCTCCTTTGGCAAAATGTTCGAACGATCCAAGTCATCTCGTAAATAAATTACAGAAGAGGGAATAAGGCAAATATCCATCGCTTATGTATTCTTTCAAATAACAATAACAAAAAGATCCGATTTCGAGTGGAAGGATGAGTGAAAAAGAGAAAGGAAAATATTATATTTCTGAAAAGAATTAAAGAACATTAATTATATATTTTACCATTAAAATTCAACGCTTTTCAGGAAATAAAGTTACTGACCAAATGATTTAATTTCTGAGTATTCGTACGTTGAGCGAAATGAGGAGAAGTTTTAAAAAGCGGAAGGGAGTATGTACACGTACATGTACATACCAAGGAAATGCAGCAGGAGGAGGAATTTCCTGAGCGTGTCTCGAGGAAACACAGCAAGTGGGTTTTATTGGCTAATAACGCACAATAGGCTCGTACTTATAGGTTGCCGATAGAGTCGTGTATTTCCCTAAAGTGCCATCCGAGGGCAGTGAAACCATAAACGGGCGTCGAAAAGGGAGGGAGGGCAAAAACTTGGACTGGATCAACTCTCGACAAGTTTCCTACAACGCCGCTCTCCGATCTCCGATCTTCCTCAGGATTTTATCGCGCGCCGATGGAAACGGGCCGAAATCCCTCGTGGGCCGAGGAATCCAACTTTTCCGCTCCACTTTCCCCGCCCGAGAAGATTCGTCCCGGTGCGACATATACGAGGGAGGGGGTGTTCCAGCGACCAAGTCCTCCCTCGCTTCCCCTTCACCCTCGCCCCTTTATTTTTTCCCAACGAGCTCGAGATTAATCGATTCTCACGATTCTTCTAATCCGAACGAAGAAGACAACGATGATTATTATCGCCGTGCGTGTAATCGATTACGCGCGAAAATTAATCGGAAGAAAATTCTTCGTGCCACCTGAGGACACCCTCGAAATATTCTCGCTGTTACTTACTTCCCTCGAAGTAAACGAAATTAATGGAACAAAATGGGTGAAAATCGGGCGGAAGAAAGAGAGGGGACGAAACGGGAGAAATCGATCGAAATTTTAAAATTTCGCTTCCTTCAGGAGCGAGCACTCGTCTAAGATTCGGTCGTGGCGAATCCGAGGCGGCGCGTATACGCGTAGGAAGCGAAAGAAACGCAGCAGGGCATCCGCATTAGCAATTTTCATAGAATCCTCGACTAATTAAGGTCGATAAATCAAAAGAACACACGGACAGCCGTGTCGGACGTCCCGCGGGAAGACGTGACACAGAAACGAGAGAGGGAGAGAGAGAGAGAGGGAGAGATCGGCTTAATAGTGAGGGGAAAAGAAGGGAAAAAAGAAAAAAGGAAAAAAAGAAAGAAAGAAGGGGACACGTACGGGGGGAGGGGTAAAAATCGGCGAAAAAAGGAGGGAAAAAACGGAATTGGGCGGGACGGTTGCAGGAAATTCATACTACTCCGTGAAATCGGATGATCGACGAGCTTCCAAGCCTGCTCGGTTCCAGAAAATCAAATCCCCAAGTTTCTGGGAAACCGGAGTTCAATCGGAAGAAAAAGCATCCCGAGTGCAAAAATCTTCCACCATCACGTTTCCTTCCAAGCATCTCTCGCCTGTGTTCTTAATAATTATCTAAAATTCATTAAGAAATAATATTCTTACACATACAAATATAAATATAATAATTATCGAGATCGATGAAAATGTTATCAACATCATCTATCGTATCCATCGAACGAATTGGAAACTTGCTGTTCTCCTCGAATGAGAAAAAGGTGTTCGATCAAAATCGAAGGCGCGTTAAGGGGGCCAAAAGGCAGGCGGCGCGACATCGTATCTTTCGCAACTTTCATTCATAACTTCGAATTCCGTCCCGTGAATGAAAGATTGATGGCTCTCCCGCAGACCCTCCAAGCGCTCGACCAACCCTCGCCCGAATATGCTTCCAGTTCCACGCTCCGCAATCTCCGCCATCGAGTAAATAATGATTTTTCCACCTTTCCTCTTCCTTCTTTCTTTTCTTTCCTCCCCCATAAACGATTTAATCCCTCCTGCTGTTCACCCAAATTTTCAATCCTTCCTCTCGAGTCTCGAATCTCGATGGAAAAAGAGATGGAATAAAAACACGCGTCTTCCATCCGAAACCGAAACGAACATCCTTGAAGGAGGAGGAGGAAGGGGACGAATTTAGGAGCGAATCCTAAGGAGCGCGGTTTCTCGTTTCGGGTCTAACGACGCGAAGAAGGAGAAGATCGTCGCCGTAACGATTTCGCTAACGAACGTCTTCGAGCGCCACAACAAAGTCAAAATATAATCCTCTTACACGAGAGAGAGAGAGAGAGAGAGAGAGAGAGGAGCGGCTCGAGAGCAGCGTGTAATCGGGGGCTTAAAAGCGCGGGGGAGGAGGAGGGAATTACGCGCGGGTTGCTGTGTTTCCGCAACCGGGACGGCTGGCTCCTTCCTTGCCTTCCCCGGAAAATCGAAAGGAATCCCTGACACCGCTAATGGATCCCCCGATCGGCGGGTTAATTAAACAAGGAACCGTGGTCTCCAGCCAATTTAAACCTTCCTAACGTTCGAGAGATGTCGTGTTTTAATACGACGCTCGCGCAATCGCGCGATAATGCGGATTCGTTTTTGAACAATGGTTTTTGAGGAATAAATAAGTTGGTATATACGAAAAGGGATCGCTTTTAGATTGAACAGAAATCGTGTTTTGCAATTGATTTAAACGCTTGTGTTCTTAGAAGACGTTGTATTTTATTACGAAGTTTACGCGATTGTGCAATTATAACATCTTTGAACAGTGATTTTTAAGGAAAATATAATGCAGGAATAAATAAGTTGATATATACGAAAAGAAATCGTTTTTAGATTAAACAGAAATCGTGTTTCCAGTTGATTTAAACGCTTGTGTTTTTAGAAAACGTTGTATTTTATTACAAAGTTTATGCGATTGTGTAATTATAACGTGTTTGAACA